CTCATCTGCAAACAAAGCAAACTCCCTTCTGCATAACACTTCTGCTTCTGTGGCATAATCTCATAATGCTTAATATGATGCAATGTACAGTGTAGACTATTCCCCTGTGCGAATCAGCCTTGAATGCACCTTCCCCCAGTCTGCTGGGAAAGAAATGCAACACGGCAAAACAACAGCAGTAGACAAGAGAGAACAAAACAGAGGGGTTTCAGCTCTGACAGCTACCTCAGCTGCTACTGGAATCCTCAGTGAAGATATGCTTTGGTCAAGGACCTATTCCAGTCACCTAATACAGACTATCCCGGATAACCTGCAGGACAAGTGCTGAGAGTGCTTGCTGTAGGGTAGACCCTCCCATCAGAAACACTGCAGACATTAATTGAAACTCCCATGCAGAACTTAACCCAAAAGTCAGCTTCTGTGAGAGAGAAAGGGGAGCTGCCTTTGGTGTATGTCTGGGAAGGGAGCACCAGATGAAATGGGTAGAAAAAGTTCATTTCAGGCTCTCATGTCCATTTATAGAAACGGAGGCATTCCTGCAAAAGCCACATTGCTATTTGGTCAGCACGCCCTCCCACACTGAGCCACGTCCAGGATTTTGGAGAGTTGGCCACATAGCACTCCTTGAGATCCAAGCGGTCTAATCCACCCTGCCTTTTTTTTTTCAGGGAGAGAAAGGAGACAGGGCTGGAGAATGTCACCCATTAACTACTGTCACTACAATCAACTTTGTCAACCATTAGCTACTGCCACTAAAATCTTCTCTATTCTGATAGCTAAAACTCTGAGAGATACAGGGCCAAGCTACAGGGCTGTGTGACAGATCATCATCCGTCCATATTTCTAACAGTGAAGGGATAGGAATCCTCCAGCACAGACAGAGCAGCCAAAGAAGATCTAGAAGTCCACTCAAAGACTGGAAGACAAGGATTCCATATGACATGATACATTTCCACAATGCTTCTTAGACTTTAAGATGCTGCCTTCCCTGAAGGGCAAAAGGTATAGAACAGAGCTATCAGTGAGGTATCAAACAATGGCTCGTGCTCAGCACAAACAGCACTGTAGTATCACCAGCTCAAAAGCAATTGCTATTCAGATGCTGCAGATCCATTTACATGGCAAAACCCACCTCAGCCACCACCCAGGCAGACTCTTTCCCCCAATTCAAAACAGAGGAAAGGACCCACCAGGAGTGAGAGAGAGAACATTTCCCTAAATTTCATTAACAGCTTATCATCAGGTTTCAAAAGCCATCACCTAATCACTTCAAGACTGGCACTCCCAGCAGGCTACAGATACCACCTAAAATCTCTGCCTCAGGCTGTTTCTGTTATGGAAACCCTAAATCTCTGAAGTCACATTGCATCTATATCAGAACAGGGACAGATCCTAAGATCAGTAAGGTGCTGCATGATTTTTCCCCTAAAGCAGAGCTTAATAGGAGGCTGAAGTTCTTTCCTCCCAAATCACATCACTTTCTTTCAAGGCCTGCTTAAAAAATTTTTTAAAAAAAGGATAAATTGCTGCAAAAATATCATTTAGAAGGCCAGCATCCTTACTCCCAAGCCCATCTTGTGGCTTGTTTCTTTGCCAAAACAGCAAGAAACAGGAACAAGGTATCAACAAAAACCCTAATACTGGTGGAAAAACAATGTAAATCAAATACACAAATGTTCTTTGTGAGCAATACAGTTATACACTTCTCTGTGTGCTACCCATGCCCCTTGCCCATCAAGTGACAACAGTGAGATAAACTAGTAAGCTTGAGATATGCATAAAACCCAGGCACAGCAGTTCAGCATGCACCATGGCAGCTGAAGGAGACAGCTGGTACCTGGCTATCAATCTTCAGCTTTTAAATTTCAAAATGCCATGAAAACTTACCTCACTACCTAAACATCCACACCACGACGTTAGTTTTGTCATGCCAAAGGACCATGCTTTTTCTCGTCCCCACATTATGGAAGAGCAAGTGTGTTAAATGAAGGGGCGAGACCTGCTGCTCCAAAAAGCACACAGTATCTCACTCAGGAAAGCGTTTCCTGCCACTGCAGTCCTGTCACCAGGGAGAATGATGGACAGTCTGCCATAAGTGCAGAAGTTTAGAAGTTTGTTTGCTGCTGCCTGTTAGGCCTGAACCGCAGTCCCAAACAGGGATGCAGCTGATGAATCAATACAACAAAATGGTAAAAGCATGGCCTTACTCAGGCCACTCTCTCCAATCCACCTCGTGTGTGGGACTTCACATAGATATCCAGCACCGAGGTGCTCCACAGAGAGCACTGCTGATGTAGCAGGCACACTACTGCTGACAGCTGTACTTCATAAGCATGTCAGACAAATTCCTGCCAATATTAAAATACATCTGAAGAACATTCGTGAACTCTCCATAACACTTCTGCTTCTTTACCCCAGATCTTCAGCATGAGGAAGTCTCCATAGAGATTTTTCCTAGTCTTTCAGGAAATGAGAAGCCAGTAGTATTTCAATAACACTCATATATTAATGCCAAAGCATCCAACACACAAACTTCATCCTATACCTCCCCACACATGAACGTCCACGACAAGGAAAAAGAATGGAAAAACACCTTCATATCTTCCTGTTAAAACATGGAAAAGTAAAATGTGATGAAAAACAGCAAAAACAGTGGGTAAACAAGAGAATGTGACCACATCTAACCTATTTTTGAACTTCAGATACCACAGCCAACATATGGCTAGAAACAAGTGAGGTGATTCTAATACCTTACTAGGGATTGTTTGCTTTTTGAAAAGGGTATTTAATACCTGGTCTGATGGATTCAATGATTTACTCTTCAGGGCTAACTTTGAACTTGAAGGTTACCATCAGTCAGCAAGCAGAGGCGGTGTCCTGAGCAAACACGGCCCCAGCTTTCCTCAGGACAACGCTGCTGAAGTGCAGCCTGGGGCCAAAAGAGCAAGAGTAGAAAGAGGACAGGTATAGGAAATAAGCAGTGACACTTCCCTGCTTCTTCATGCAGTTGCTTACAATTCTTTAATGGAGAGGAACTACAGTGCTTGGTATTCAATAATAATAATAATAATTAAACTAAGTGGCATGGCAAAGGAAAACCATACAGTTGTAGAGAAACAAGCATAGGGAATAATTTACCATACTGCAATTACAAAACCACTGTATTATACCCTTTGCTAACACTCCCTAAGACAGTCTTTAACTGCAGTCAAGTAAAATGTATGCCTCTATTTCTTCCCCCTGCCCAACCTCATCAGTAAACAAAATAGCTAGTTTTCATTCACTGTGATTATGCCTGACTATGGGAATAAATAGGTCTTCCCTATGAAGTATGCTCTGTCTTTAGTCACTACCATTTCTGCCTTCTCCGATTCTCTAAAAGGAAAGTCTGGGCTTACAAAGCAAAGACTATGTACCGAACTGAGGTCTCATTGTCATGTCAGTTCAACCACCAGAGCAGTGTGGAACACCAAAAGGGTAGCCAAAGTTTGCCTTTCACAGCCGTTAACTAAGCCACTCCTTTTGGGATGATGATTCCACACAGGCATATAGCACAGGCTGACAGCCTCATTGTTTGGATTTCTAATGCACGCTGTTGAGTAACTCCACCTGAACAATTTTTTTAAAAATCTGACAGCAAAATGCTCATTTGCTCATGCCAAGTAAGATGTCTTCCACTCTAGATAATTTAAAAACACGTGAAAACCAGCCCACTAGAAGGGATGATAAGAGCAAAAGGAAAGCTCAGATGCACTCAAGGAAAGAGGTTTTCTCTTTCCAAAATATGTAAAGCGGTTGCCTTAATTCCCTAGTGCTTTTCTGCAAACGTCTGTTCCTCAAATACCATCTACAAGCATTCACCTCTTGTTGCCTCAGCAGTATCTAAATAAATACAGAAATACAGGAATAAGCGGCCTGCATTAGAAGCTACCTGAATTGAAAGCCATTCAAATCAGAATAGCAGCCACTCACAGGCTGAACGGTCCAGGGTGGAGCAGAGTCAGATATAGGGGAGAACTCTGCATCTCAAAGCAAGAGGCACAGGCCTAGCCTAGCAGCTAATGTCACGTTCCACTTTCCTCTTCTTTGTGTCAGGGCTGCAGAGCCAGGCTCACTTCACTTATGCCCCATTGCATTAGTATTGGCTTATTCACTTCATTCAATTGGTATGAGCTGGTGTTCCGGTGCAAGGGTCAGGAAGCTATTTCCCTGATCCTTTCAAAGCTGTGTAAAATTTTATCTCCTCTCGCTACCAGAAAAGACAATCACAGGTTGAGCAAATGTATGTCACTGGCCTTCGGCACCTGCATTGATACAAGAGTGCTCCAGGAGCTGACCTGACACTGGCCTGATGGAACTTTTCTTTCTTTTAAAGCAACAGCTTATGGAAATTCTGTAGCTAGTTTTAAGAGGTATGAAAGTGCTAAAGTCCTTTTCCTCCAGGGCCCAATGACAATGTTTTCAGCAGACAGCTAATCTCCTTTGTCCCATCTAGTTGTCAGCAGGAAGAGGATATTGCAGTGTCAAGTCCAGATGCAACTGCAGATACAAGATTTGAAGAACGCTCTGCCTGAAGCAATTTCTCAGCACTGTGCTTTCTCCCCCAGGCCATTCATAGTTGTACTGAATCACAGCCCTGGACTAGAGATTCACACACACAGGAAGTGGAGGGCACTGAAGAAGAGCCTGAGCCAAAAGACCTGTCAAAGCCAGAATCATACTTAACCCCCATGCTACCCCAGACTTTGTAGATGGATGTCCCACTTGCCTCTGCCACCACCATCAGCCCTCCGGCTAACACCAGTGGCACCCTTCCAGATACCAGCTGCATTTTACAGAGGGAATTTCATGTAAATTCGTGTTATCCCTGCAGCTGCCCTTCAGGCCACGTGCATCTCTTAGCCCTCCCTGGTTTGCAGCCTTAGCACTCCCAGTCTCCGGCCAGGCAAGTGACAGCCCGCCCCACATGCGTGGCCAGCAGAGGTGCAGCTGCCCATTACCTGGTTCCCAAAGACCGCAATGGAGCAGGCGGTGGAGACCTCGTGGGAGCCAAACCAGACCGAGGCGATGCGTGAGGGCATGCCCAGGATGAAGACCTGAGCCAGGCCACAGATGACCTGTCCCAGGACAGTGACGGGGAAGAGGTGAGGCTTCAGGCTGCCCAGCTTCACCCAGGCACCCACGGCATTGAGGGCCGAGCCAGCCAGGGCGATCAGGCGCAGGCCCCTCTTGTCCAGCAGCCAGGCGACCGGGAAGAGCAGGGGGATGTAGATGAGCATGTAGCTCATGGAAAGCCAGTCGATGGCGAAGGCGCTCACGTCGTAGAAGCCCATGAAGACGTTGTTGATGCTGCCGTACTGGATCCACTGGAAAGCATTGCACAGGGAGTAGCTGCTGAAGAGCAGCAGCACGGCCCAGCGAAGCCAGGACAGCTGAACCTCGGCGGCGGCATCACCGACCCCTCCCGCCGCAGTCGACAGACTGGGCGCCCTGGTGGGCTCCTGCAACACCATGCCGGCACGGTGGGCCGCACCCGGCCCGAGTCGACTCGCCTCAGCCCAGCTCAGCTCCCGGCCGGCACCACCTGCCCAAAACGCCCCTCCCGGCCGTCCCCACGGGGCTCACTGGCGGCTGCCGAGCAGGGAGGTGTCCCCGGCCCGGCCCTCCCCGCCCTCCGCCCCGCCCCGCTCCGAGGCCGGGAAAGGCTCGGGCCGCCCTGGGGGCACGGCCGGCCCTCGCCGCGGCGGGGCACTGATGGGGCAGTAGGGCTGGCCTGCGTCCTGTATAAGTGCTGGCCGCCCCACAGCAGAGGGGCCGCGACCCGCTCCCCACGGCCACCCCCCGGCACTGCCCGGCCCCGCCGAGAGCCCTCCCGGCGGTACAAGGGCCGGGGGCAGGGCAGGAGAAGCTTCGGCCGCCAGTGATGAACGGGGCTGAGCAGAATTGTGACCTGTGGGAGGCTGGAGCGAGTGAGCAATGCCCAACGCTGCCAGAGATGCCAGGGTGGAGTCCTGGAGGGGGAACCGGTTTAGGTTTCGTTTGGTTTGGCCTCTGGTGGTTTTTTTCGCAACATGGCACACTAGAGAGTGAAAAAAATCCAGTGAAATAAAAACTAAAACATCTGTGCGTCACTGAAGTAAAAGAGCCAAAAGTAGTGTTTGTTTCCATTCTCATGGGGAATTGGCAATTAATGAGTCAGTGCTTGTTTTCCCATTGCTTGAGCAACACGCCACTGGCAGATGCCTGCCTGGAGATCATTTATGATCTACAGTTCACTTAATTAGCATCATGTTACCTGAATTGCATAAACATTCCTCAGCACAAGAATGCAAGTTTGCTGATGGTGTTCAGCTCTCTTCCAGCATTTAACACACAGGTCAAAATTCATTTGGAAAAATGGGAGCGGTTGTACAATTGGATGTTGTACTCCTGAAACAAAGGAGTACAGAGTATGAAAAAGTGAAGTTTCTTTGGCTTGTATTTACTTGATAGCTGCATCATAATGTAGCCTTTTTACATACTTGGAACACTGTCATAGGTTGTTGCTGCTGTCCGCTGAGTTATCTACCTACTATCAGGAGCAAAGACAAACAGCTTTGATGCCTTTATGTTCTTATTTGCCATTAAAGAAAACAAATAAAATCCCAAAACAAAAAAGCTTTGCACTAATTATTCCAAGGAGCATAAATGTCAGTTTAAGTGGTTCTTGCTGTGTTTCCTCACAGAGTTTGTTTCTTGTCACCTGCTCGGACTTCCTACTCCCAGCAGAAGCAGAGCTGGAGACGAGCAGAGCCAGTGCAGTCTTCCCTATGTACTCTGCTGAAAGTTCCACAGGGCAGAGCTGCAAACCCTCCTACTGTCTCCCTTCTCAGCCCACAGCTTTGGCAATGAACCTTCAGCCTCACCTGAGATGCTTCTCACAATGGAACAACATAGTCATAATGTAGCTCTTTTACATAATAAATAAGAAAGGCAAATTCAGAAACAAAAGCCAGAAAAGAGGTTTTCAGTCCCATTTATTATTAAGTTAGGCAACCAAAGTTAACTCGAAGCTCTGCACAGAGACAACAGAAGGAACAGAGGAATTTGTTGTAACAAATTTGTAAACTAAATGTTATCAGGAATTTAATGAGCGACAGCAGTGCAGATAGGGCAGAGGTGAAATGGAGCAGGAAAAAGACTATCATGGTTCAACAACTGCTTAATCTGAGAACTCTAATGATAAAACAGTGAGATAGTACAGAAGATTAACTTCTAGGTTGATAAGACTTGCAAAAATAAAATTCTCCACAGTAGAATTCAAAGTTACACAGCAGTAATCATTATCATTGATTAAAGAGCAGTCAAAAAATGAAGTCAAGCAAAGAAATGTACAGGCAATTTTTGGGATGGCAATTTGGGTTTGTTCAGAGAACTATCATTTATTATCCCTTTAGCAGTGTAAGGAAGAAAATTTGCAGATGGCTAGACATCACTGAGTTAGTCAAGCCTAACTTAAATATGTTACCTACACATGTTGTATTAAGTTTGAAATTACTTTAGGACTATAGCTTTAGCTATCTGTAACTGAAAGTATTATCACAGTCCATAGAATCTTTAATTTGTAAACTCAGATAAATGCAGGATAATGGAATTAGGTACTGTGTGGCAGTCTGCTGTCATAAGGTCTCTGGGCAGCAAAGAGGAAGATAACAGTGACTCAATATGGTTTTCAGAAAAAGAACAAGGAGAAAAAGTATAAAGAAAACAAATTAGGAGTTGAGGAAATACTGTCACATCAGGAAGACACAGAGAACAATTAAATTTCTTAATACATTACTAAATAGACAAATCTTTAGATATATGGGAGGTGACTGAGACACACATTAGGTCCTTTGCCTCCTGCCAGCTCTACTCCAAACTGGCATCAAAAATAGTCTGTCATCTCGAGTTTTGGTTTTGTCCCACCTTCAGCTCCTAAATTTCTCTCAAAAATCCTCAGGTTTACTCATCATCAACATAAGATCTGTAGCAAGTCAAAACAAGCAAGGAACCATTTGCTGCAATGTTTTAGTCCTGTCAGAAAAGCCAAATGGTAAGTCAAGAATGACTAAAACACAGACTCTGCTGAAAATTAACGACTGAAATCAGATGCATGAAAGCGGTGCCCAGCCTCTGGTGCCTGCAGCCTGTCAAGTGAACATGAGCCAGGCAGGGAAGCAACACTGGCTCCTCAAAGCTGAGTCAGACAAGGGTTTTTCATACCTGTAGGCCCACACTTCCTTGAACTCCTGTCCTTGGATTTCAGGGCTGTTCTGCTACTAACTCTGTGAACTATTCAATCACCCGTTTATATAATTTGCCAATTTCTAATTATAAAATACTAAAATAAAACCCCTGTGCTTTGCATTTCCTCCTCTATTGCTGCATCTGTTTCTACTCACATGCCTCTTTCCCTTCTTGAAGCAACAGAACAGCTGCTTTTGGATTTCCCTCATCACAGCATATTTATTTAAAAATTTCTTAGCCATGAAAAATTATTTATATTTCAGGACAACCCCTTGAAGTGGATTTTAAAGCTAGAGGGAAATCTCCTTTACATGGAGATTAACAGAAGTGCTAAAAAGCTTATAGGATCCTAGAGCCAAAAGTATGTGCGAAGATTGGAATGCAATAAATCAGAGGAAGAAGCAGGACCCAAATGAAGCGTAAACGTACAGGCCATCAGGTAGACCCTAACCTCTGTAATCTTCCCTACTGATCTCAAGAAATGAAACACTGACAGTCTTGGAATGTTGCCTTTATGACCAATCAGTAAATACAGTTCCTTTATGTTACATAAAGCCTTGCAGCTTACTTGCTATTCTCAAAGTCCACCCAATAAATATAAATGCTAGGGATGGTGACAGCAATGATAATCCAGATGGCAACAGGCCTCACTGACAAGCAAGGTAATTTGAATGGGTGAGGAAAATTGGCTTGCAGGGTGTGCAAAAAATATTGTAGAAAATTACTGTGAAAAGTATAATTCTTTGGTGTCATTTCTCTCCACACTGGTTCACAGATACAAGAAGTAGGTGAATAAAAGAAGAAAACTGCTAAGGAAAAGCAAGTACTCAAGGATCTACTGGATCTTACATCCATTTAGGTTCCCTTTAAGTGGAAAGTATCTAACCTCAAAGGATCACAAGATGTCCCTTGCTTTCAAACACTCAAACACTTAAACACTTTCAAACACTTGTTATTTGTGCCGCTAAATTTCATCATTGCACTTACAAAGCCCAGCCAGTTTACCTCTTAGGTGGCTCTATCACATTTAGACTGATAGCATTTAGGTCTAGTAGAACTGTCAGCAGATATCCCTCACAACTTTTCACAATAGACATTGCAGGAAAAATTACAAGATCTTTGTTAGTGGAGGTAGAAGGTTTTATTTTGGGTTCAGCACCTAAACTGCTTTAGTGAAGTTCTTCAGAAGTCAGGTAGTTCTGTCATAAGACCAAGTGACAAGACTCGAATAGCTGGCAGAGCCACTCATTTTGAGGTCACACCTGAATGCAGTGCTGAGCTGGAGACACAAGGTGAAGTGTGGGCTGGCAGGGCTGCTGCTCTGGACAAAGCCAGTGGTGTTCTCCGATGGAGCAGGGAAACCTGCAAGCCCTCTACTGGCATCCAGAGCTTTCTGCATCCCAAGAGCCACCCAAAATACAGCTTATAAAAGCAATGGATTACTTTATTACTGTAGTTTAGGTATACAATTATTTTGACACCCTAAACCCTTAAGAATCTTTCCTGTTACATTTTCATCATGAAGATCTGAGTACATGAACAGTGGTGGACAACTCCATTCATAACAGTGCAGCAGGCAACCTCTGCAGCACTCAAAAATTGCCTTCCTCTACACAAAACACAAAGGCTTAGTTGCACAGTCTAAAATCTCATCTAGAGAAGACTGCAGACCTCAGAATCACCAAAGCTGTGCAGGGGCTACCTTTGAGCACCAAACCTGTACTGTCCAAAGCTTTAGGCCTTTCAAAAGTACAACTTGGGGAAGGGAAATAATTTTTTTCTCCCCTTCAGCATATTTCATGTGTAGCTCTCACTTTCTGGTAGCTTCAGCAAGGATGCATCATCTGTGTCTATTTTACAGGGGCACAAAGAGTTATGGTGATTTGTGTGGCCCTGCCAGGGGGAGGATTTTTTTCCAGTTTGACACCTTCCACCCTGAGAGCAGCTTGAATTTACCACATCTTTACAAACCCAATCTCCCTGCTCAAAGCCTGGCTTTAGCAATGGCTTTAGTTTAACCTCTCCAGTTCAGATGTGATGTTTATGTGGATGAATCACTTAAGTCTGAACTGTGAAGAGTAGATGGGAGGGCATGGCTGAAGTGCTAATATCCACAGCTGCCTCCTTGCAGCAAGAAAAAGGTGTAAAAGGAGTGCAGAGGATGGAAGAGCACTTGCATGCAAGGTATCTCAAAGGTGTCAGCTCCTGGTTAGTGCACACCTCTCCAGACACAGAGTGCTTATGCTACCTCTGCATGGCTTTCTGCAAACATATCAACTGCTCTGCCCCATTCTCTGATCAGGCCGGATGAGAACCGGCTCTAATCCAAAAACTGTATAACTGTGGTTAGCCTGCTGTGCTGCTTGAGTATCTAAGCCCAGTTCTCAACCTTTGCTTGTGAAACGCTGTGAGGAAAGATGTGCATAAGCTGTTATTGGAGCAAAGTCACTTCACTCCTCTGCTGTGCACCAGGCATGTACATGAGATATGAAGATCTCTTTGTTCAGCTCAGAATAAAAGAAGTGAAAAAAGTTCGAGTTAGCCTCAAAACTTAGCCATAGTCTAGATTTCCATGACCAGTCCAGATCAGATCAGGGTCACAGGTTACCCCCAAATACCAAAGCTTAAAGTATATAAGCCCTTCTTACTCAGCATCCTCCAGCCTCCATCTCAGTGAGTCATACCAGTTCATGGCAATGACATGAGAAAAAGATTTTAATCTTCTATTGCTTGCAGCAGACATTAATTAATAATAAAAGAGTGCTGGAAATGGGCATAGCCTCACTGCTGAACTCACGCATGTCCCTCTTCTTTCTCCCACTCACACTGCAGATAAAAAAAAAAAACCTGGGAAAAGTTCTGAGGACCATGGCACCAAACCACAGCTGTTTTGAGGGGAGAAAAATTGGTAGTGTCTTAGCAAAAAGCACAGAACTGGTACAAGAGTTGGGGGGAAGGTGTGCTGTCTCTGAGGCAGGAGAACTCTCAGGAGCAGGTGTCTGCAACCTCAGCTGCTTTGAAAATTATAGTGTCTAACTCTAACACACTGATTGTAACCCTGCCCTGACAAGTAATGAATATATGCTCCCTAACATTTAGTTGGGTACAGTTTTTGAGTAACCTAAAAAACTTCATGAATATGTATAACTCTGCCTCACGGCTCAAATCTCCTCCAGATGAACAACCAATAAAGTGGCAAAACCACAACAGAACAGAGCTGAAGTGAGCACAGGGCTGTTAACTCAGACAAAGTCTTATCATTTCATGCCATGCTTTGGTTTCTCTCTTCTTGACAGCTCGTGATTTATAAAAATACTTTGTCTCTTAGCAGTGATTCCTGATCTTCTTTGATCTCTGTGTGCTGAAGTATTAGCATCCAGGCAGCACTTTTGTATGACTAGTGCTGCTTTGTACACTGTGATCATTGCAGGAAGCAGAGAGAGGGTCTTTTGTGGGATGCTGCTTTGCTGCAGCATGCAGGAGGTTATCTTCTTGCTGATGCAGGCCGGCAGCTCTAACAGAAGTGAATTCCGAGATGGGATTTATGAAACAAGTGCATAAACCCTTTGGAGCCATAGCGGAATGGACATCAGAGCTGCTCAGTCTGTTCCTTGCCGAAGTGGCCCTCCAGGAGGGCTGCAGGGCTGGCTGGGAGCGCTCAGCCTTTGCCCAGCAGAGGCCAGCACACACGCAGTGTTCGGCAGGCTGTGCTTGCAGGGCAGAGCTGGCTCTCTCCTGTCTGGCCTTCCGCGGCTGGAAAAGTCTCTCAGCCTCCTGCGAGCCCTCGTTTATGTACTGCTTTGAGAGGGGTTTTCTGTAGCGCAGCAGAAAGGCGCTGACATCCTTCTGGGGCAGGGATGGGGCTTCCACAGGCCCGGACATCACCCGGTTTATCCAGTTGTGTGGCCAGAAGCATCCCCTTCCCTCGGAGCAGGCAGCAACTCAGTGCTCCTGAAGGCTGGGCATGGCCAGATAACGCACACAACACTTGAGAAACGCCAGATACCAAGGAAATGAAACTTACAGGAATTGCGTTGCTGGGAGGAGCAGGCAATCGAAAACAATCAGCAGTGATTGCCCTGGCCACCTCCCTGCACCTTGCTCCTCGTTTAGGCTCATTTGCAGTTCATTTGCAGACATTAGTGAGTGCCACACCAGAGGACACACACTTGGCTACTCAGAAATCAAAAGTAGTTGTATGAGGAGTCTTGAGGAGAGGCCGGGAGCCAGGGAAAGAGAAGCAAGACACAGCACCAGTACAGAAGTCAATGAATCTCCTCACACAGCTGGAACAAGCAGTTTGTGCAGCTCTGAAAATAGCCTTAGGAAAAGATCTTTTTTTCCTACACTGTTTGAAAGGGCACAAAAAATATGTTGTCCCTTGCTCCTTGGATGATAAGGACATTCTCCCATTCTTTCTGACAAAGAGAGACTGCCTCCCAGATACCTCCCAATTACAGAAGAAAGCAGAGGTCAAAACCAGCTTGAAACATTCAGATTATGTTGTGTGATCAGGTTTTTGCGGGCAAAGCCCAGTCAGATTGGAAGATGTGTCTCCTAGCACCAGCAAACACCAGAATGGCTTGGTTTGGCCAGAAGGGCTGAGTGCAACACTGGTAGGAGGCCTTCCAGCTCACAGCCAGCAGTGCAGAGGGAGGACACATTGACTGATGATGCCAAAAATATTGTTTAGGTTTTGGAGTGGATGTTGTTGCAAACCCATCTCCCAATCTCACCACTTGCTGCTTATTTTCGTTCTGAGTTGCAGTAATATGTCTGAGACGTTACCAGTGACTGGGTCTAGCAATTCTGTGGGCATTACACAGAACCCCACCCAGCCTGAAGGATATATACTTCGACAGCTTTGCAGCAAAAATATTGGCTCCGTGTCAGTGTGGGCATCAGTGACATTTACATCATGGTAGGACCTTCTCCATCTGCAGCTAGAACCAAGCTTAGTATTTTATAGCCATGAGAAAATACAAAGGTCGCAGCAAGGAGATCTCTCACTGTGTGCAACATTGCAAACTTTGGTGGGACTCTGTTGCATCCTCCAGTGAAGAGCATGAGCTTGCAGTGCCCTCCACAGAAAACCCCAATCAAGGTAGCAGTAGCCTTTTTCTCTGACTGTAAACCAGGAAGCATGGGAACATCAGAACCCTAAGGAGCAGCAAAAGTGAAAGGGAAAAATCTGGGAGAAAATCCACCAGAAGCTCAAGGAGCAGAAGGAGAGACTGTAAAGACAAGCTCATCCAGAGCTGGAGTCAGTTGTCTCTCTCAGGCTTAAAGGGACAAATTCCAGAGAAAGACACCTTGGGAAGAGCCTATGTAGTCTGACTGGCTCAAAGCATGGCCTGTGCAAGGAATCAGCGGCTGTTTTTTGAACCAATGGTTAGAGTGCAGCCTATTGGTGAGAGATCTAGCAGAAAAGGATGGTGTAAGACACATTGAAATTGTTCCTGTAGATGTATTCTGCCTGTCACGTATGCAGAAACCCTGCTCCATGGCTGGAATAACCACGGCCCTTCCCTGTGTCCTTCCCTAAATGTGCTCATCCCTCATCCCAGAGTCATGCAGACAGGGAGGGCCAGTGCAATCACCCATTGCCTCAGCACTGCTTTTGTGGGGTGGTGACACCCAGGCTGATGTGCTGATACCAGGCATCTCTGACCATGGTGCTTCCCATGCTGGCACAGAAACTGGAGACAGGAGGCTCACAAACCTCTGAACAGACTATGGCAGGAGAAATCACAGTGCTACCTGCACCTATCCTGAGGACAGCTTGCTAGGACACTGCAGTATTTGGTTATCATCTTGCTAGTGCAAAGCAGAGAGAGAAAATGTGCACAGCACGGCACTTTACAGACTTTACCCAATCACTCTTGAGGGTTATGATGACGGGCCAAAACCCATCTGGAAATAGGCTGCTTCTCTGTGCCTGCAGGGATATCTACAAATTTGGTCTATTTCCTTCATTTAAAAGCCTACATCAGCAGCACTGCTTGTGGTACTCTATCCTGAAAATATTGCAGCTGATGCTCCTTGAAGATGGCAGCAGTCCTGAGCCATTGTTAGCAACAGAACCACTGGCAGGTGGGCTTCAGCCTTGTGTACAGAGTGGGGCTGCTGAGTGGGCTGCTGGCTGCTGTGGGGTAAGGTGCAGAGACCGCCTGTATGGACTGGCTTGTGTTTCCAATAAATCAGACTCAGAAGTACTAATGTACTCCTCTCTGACTTTCAGGTTTCATCTGTTTCAATGCATGAGGTAGTGCAGCAGCCTTTTGTGGAGCTGTGACTGATGGGCAAGGGGGAAGAATGTAGGCTGCAGCTACATGCCTTAGCAGGGTGCCTTGGAACAAGAGTCCTACTAGGTCCTGCTTCTCCTGTGCACTCTGGGAAAACACCACCAGCTCCCTCCATGCCATGATGCTCCTTCCCAGCTGTGCTTCTGGCCAAACTGAAGGGTCCCCTAGCCCACCAAGACCTGCCTGTGAGCTGACAACATGGCAGTACGCCTCGACACATGCAAGGGAAGCATGTGGAGGCATAGCCACCAATAGCAGGGAGCTGAGAGGGTCAGCAGGGAAGAGACCTGTGAGATTGTGTGGCATGTCACACTCATTAGCCAGGTCCAGCCCTGCAGCAAGGAGGGACCCATCCTCCCCAGGAACCTCATCACCCCACAGACCATTGTTGCCCAGCCTATGTGCATGGCTCCCCCTTCTAAATGTGGGGCTCTGGTTGCTGGCCCTGGATTAGATTCCTGTGCATGCAGGGCTGTTTTCTGGGCTCCAAGTTCTCCCCTCCTGCTGCCTGTGTCTTCATTGTATCATGCCAGGCCTTAGGACTGACTCAAATCCTATTTTGGAAACCAAGAGTTAAGCATTTTCAATCTTTATTTTACAAAAATAAACCAGTTTTGCCCTGACACTCTGTGGCCCCCCAACCTTCCCCTCCACCCCTGCTCCCTTTCCTCTTCCTGGAGGTCTGGCTGTGGTGTGCCACAGCCAGCTGCTCTTATGGAGGCTGCTGGTGATGCACACTCCTGCAAGTCTCCCCAAACAAGGACCAGAGAAAGGGGCTGGTGCCCTTTTGTGACTGCTTCTTCCTCCCAGAATCCAAGCTGGAAACTGTCCAAAGATGCCTCATGGTGACTCTGCCATTTCTGCACAGGAAGCAAGTCTTAGGCAAATCACTCAGAATACATACTTTCAGAAGGAATGTCCATCTGTCCAATTCCTTCCCTTGGATGGAAAAGCAAGCCCCACGAAGTTACTTCTTGCCATCAGTGGAGCTGGCAGGCTGCTGTCCTGCTGGCTGGCTCAGTGCTGGAAGCGTGGGGAGCTAATGTGGGGCTGGTGAAAAGAGTGTGTGGCATAAAGCACTTCTGGAGGTGGTGGAGGGGATGTCAGGATGGAGCAGAGTGGTTCATGGGAGTTCAGCATCGAGGTGAAGTGCTTCATTTCCTCTGTCAGCTGCTTGATCTCCCGGCGCAGGGCAGCATTCTGTCTCTCCAAGTCTTCACTCTCCTGAGGACACAAAACCACAGGGGCTTCCTCAGCGTGGGACCCACAAGGATGAGCTAGGGACGTGAGGGCTGCGGTCCTTCACCTCTCTGCCCCGCAGAATTTCCAGAATGATATCTTTCTGGTAAATTCATCACAGAGCCACGCCTGGGCAAACCCTCCTCCCCCAGCTGGCCGGGCCGGGTGTGGGTGCGATGCCGGCAGCCCCAGCCACGCTCCCCAGCCCCGGCTTACGAGAATTGACTGTGGCTTGCTCCCGCCCAGGCTTTCTCGCTCCCTCTCATGCACACACATCTCCGGGCGCTTCCCGGGCAGCCCAGCCCCCGGGGGAGAGCACGTTGAATAACCGCCGTCTTTAACCAGAAAACCACCTGCCACAGGAAACCTGTCATGGCCCTGGAAAGAAGAGACTCACTGCTTCCTGCTAGCAGCCCAGGAAAGCAGCGGCACAATGGGGAGGAAGGGGAGACGCTTGAGTCAGAAGAAAAGAGAAACTAAGGCCTCAGAAGAACTGAATTAATACTGGTATTAATGAGAATAACAACAAAGGGGTTCGTAATGATGCTCAGCCTTGTCTCAACAATACTGAGAGCATCAAAGCCTTTGCTACCTCTGCTTCTGCTGAAGTGCAGCCAGCTCCAGGCTGTAGCATTGCAGGCATCAACTGACCATGGAGCCAGCAGCCTGGGCAGGACCAGAGGATTGGAAACTCAGCTGAGAGAGCTAAAGCAAGACCCAGCACTTGGAGGCTCTGGAAAGCTGCACCACCACCGTGGCAAAGCAAAACTTCTGCTTGCCCCTCTGCTGCCACGCTGATTCCTGGTGGTGGCCAGTCTGTGCACAGGTTGAAATGCACCCAGCAATTGCAGCTGTCACAGCAGGAGCTCACACAGCAAACAGCGTCTCTCAGGCATGACCAAATGGTTTGGAAATCATGACTGTTGTTGAACTCAGGAACTGATGGGAATCACCCAGGGGCCAGGAGTCCCAGCTTTCCCATGACTCATTCCCCTCAAAACTCAAGCTAGAAAACCCTGGGGCAGATGGAGCTGGTGGCTACTTTCATACCACCATAGCTCAAAACGAGCTTTTCTGTGAATAACCACATTAGAAAAACAAAGTCCCTGATGCAGAATCAATCAAAGGCGAAGAGTGCTCAGGGAATGAACCCAGGAGCAGCAGGGGTTCACTGTCGACTGGAATTTAAAAAAAAAAAACTATCAGAAATTTACCATCCATCATCTACTTGCCTCTCTGCATTTTTTCATCTGCCTGTCGGGATCCAAACTGGACTTAGCCTCACTGCCCCATCCCAATAGGAAGGCAAGGACTGTGTGCTATCAATGCTAGCTGAGCTGTAGTAATCTCATAAGCAAGTGGTTTGTTATCTGCTCTAAGAAAAGCAGCCCAATCCTGCTTGGTGCACAGCTAGGCAGGGTTTTCCTTGGGGAAGCTCAGAGCCCATACCTACCTCTAGGATTACTGTGGAGAGAGCACTGACCTCAAGGAAGGGGTATTTTCTCACCTCTCTGATACAACAGTTGCCCAGAGCCATTGCTGCTGGCTGATGTGATGCAATCAGCCTAGAGCCATGTCAGCTCTAGAAGGTTCATCAGCTACTGAGGAAAGAATGAAATCTCTGTCTTAAACCTAGCTCCAACCATGGACTAAGGGCACTATGTAAGGAGGAAGGTTCAGAACTGGATTCTCAAGAATTATTTTCAATAATGAGAATATGGAGACTGCTAAATCAAAGGATGTTTTTTCGAACATGAGCTCAACTACCACTTTTCAAAGGACAGCCAAATCCAGCACAGGGATAATGATGGTTTCTGGCCACTGCAGGCTGCATGTCCTTCATCCTTCCCACCAGTGTCCCAAAATACATGGGATGGCACTTATCAATGTGCAAAATGCAGAGTACTCCAGCCCTTATGCTCCAAGACTGACTACATACGCCTGCCCAAACATACACAGCCAGAAGTGACCATCCCTCCTGAAGGGCAGCTATCTAATTTTTCACACCAGGAAGAGCTATTGGGGGTGCCCACAGTGCCACAGAAAAGTATCTTTGTATGCTGTTGCACCTCTACATAAGCGGTGGCATGAATCTCAAATGGGGAGAGCCAACCCAAGTGAGACTGTGCTATCAAAGAGCTCAGTCAGAAGAGGTTGGGAAAGGAAATCAGCAATGAAAGAGTGAGAGATAAAGATGGATTCAAAACTAGGTGTAAAACTAAACACTTCAGTGGCAGTCATCCTGGGCTGTGTGCGCTCACTGCAAGCGCTGATTCCTATATCCTGCCCTGGCCCCACTTCTCCTGTCCTGCCTCCACTGAGCAAGCATCTCTGCTCCAAGTCTCAGAAGAAATAGGACTCCTATGAGTCCTCAGTAGGAGGGATAAGAAAGTGTGGGAGTGCTCACCAAGTGCAATGTGTCTGCTTTCTGGGTCTGCCTCAGGCGGCTCTTCTGGGCAGCAATGCGATTCTTCTCCCTCCTTTGGACTTTCCTCACGTCATCAGAAGAGTCCTAGGGAAACAAGGCATGGAAATGACTGGGTAATTCTCTCCCTCACCCTTCTCCTGCAGGGCAGTAATTGGGAAAAGGACACAGGAGATAACATCACCGAAGCACAGGACACACCCTCCACACCAGTATAAAGCAGTAGCCCATGGGATGTGTGATGCTTTTAGTACCCCTGTTGCCAGGAGGGGCACATCTGACATCCTTGAGGATCCCAGCACAGCTGGGAAATGACCACTCTCCCTTCACCAACACACTGGCCTGGGATATAGTTTGATGGACCAGAGTAAGGACCTCTCTCTGGAAAAAAGACAATTTGAATTCTTGTACAGAAAAGCTTTTCCTTTCCTGTCTCTCTGCAGGGTAGTGGCACTGCAGACATTCCAGATCCTTGGATATATCATTTTTCCAGATATTCAGCCTGTGTTTTCCTCTTTTCACTCGTGTAGTTCCCTCCCTTCTCCATCACCTTTCTGCCTCAGGCTTTATTTGTTGCAGACCCTCACAACACAATATGGTCCCTGCTTTGTTTAACTAGACAGACTCAGAGCTTTTATTTTTAACACAGATCTTATTTGCTCCACCTCTCTGATCTTTGTCCTTGCTCTTTTCTGGAGTCCCCCGTCAGCAATGCCTGCAGTGCTGACTGCAACACCCCCAAGCCCCTTAGGCAGGGGAGAACAGAGGTCTCCAGGCTTCAGGTCATGAGCTTCATGCACCAGCCATTCTCTGCTGAGATCCAGTCCTTCTACTTCCTTCTGACAGTTGAAACTGTCACATAGACTTTCATCTTCTATTTTCATATTGCACTGCCCCTCTTGTGGACTCTGACATTCACACCACCACTTCTCCACAAGACTACAAAACTCAGCCACAAAAGTTATCTTCCCAGCCCATCTATCTGTCCACATCCTCTCCCCCCTCCCCCAGCTCAAGATATTTTTCTTTGAACTTAACTTATCCTTAAACTTATTTCTTTTAACTTATCCTTGCCTTCAATACCCTGAAAATGTCTCAGATACAGCAGCTCCCATATCCTGCATCAAGACCAGTCCCTATCCTTTGGAAAACCTTGTACTTTATCCCTGTCTTTACCAGGATGCAAGCCAGGATGCATTCCCATCCTTGTTTGGAAGCCAAAAGCCTTGATGAACCCCAAGGTTTCTGAGCAAAGTCCCAGGCACTTGCTCTTGTTGCCAGCCCTAGAGAAAGGGCAAATGACAGATAAGACAAAGTTTAGCCAGAAAAGGTGGTGAGAATACCTCAGATTTCTGTCTGTATCTGCCAGCAAAAGACCTTAAAGGTATGCCATGCAACAAAACAAAATCCCTCTGTGAAGCATCACTGACATGAAAAACCGCTGAGGCTGAACAGTAAAGAAAGCAAATCCAAAGTATCAGGGCTTTTCTGAGTCCTGAGTGCTGTCCACAGAAGCAGGAAGCAGGCAGGTTGTCCCTGAGCCACCCTGGTTCACAGCCAGGAGGTGCCTGCTCAGCTCCTCACCAGAGCACCAAGCCACACCAAGGCTTCCTGCCTGCCTGGCATGTATCACAGGATCCACCGTGCCTGGGGGTCCTGGGCCCCAGCTGCCCCTGGTATAGCCCCAGGTAACCAGGTCATCTCTCTCTGCCCATACCCAGCTCAGTGGCTGGAGCTTCTGCCAGGGCCCCTGGCTGAGCCCTGCATCTCTCTCCCCACAGCCATTCTTAGAAAGCTCTGCCATATTGCACTGTGAGAGCACCGACAGTGGGTGCCACCCTACTTCCTGCTCACCCATGGCCCACCCTGAAATAGCTGGGCACAGCTGGGGAAGGGCCCCTGCTTTACCTGCTTGCTGGGAGGGGGAGACTGGCTGAAGCTGCTGGAATCACTGCTGTCGGAGCTGTGGGGCATGGCTGCTGTTTCTGGCTCCCGGGGTCTCTTCAGCTTCCTTTGTGCTCTTGGTGTGCTTTTCTGTCTTGCTTCTCTGCCTCTCCTTTGTCCTTCTCTGTCACTTTGATGTGGCCCTTGGCTCCCTGCTCTCACCTGTCCCAGAAGCACTCTGTCCTTCTGCCCAGCACTCCGACACTTTCGCTGCCTCTCCTCTCAGAGCCTCTGCACCTTCCCTTTAGGTCTCAGCCTCCTGTGGTTTCTCAGAACCTCAGGGATGCAAGCTGAAAGTCACGTGGCCGGAAACTTTAAGGCAAAGAAGAAAAGTTGAGAAGAAGAAAAAAAAAATTTAAACCAATAAAAAAAAAAAGAAGAAGAAAAAAAAGCACATCTGGGAAAAATGAACTTCAAAATAGCCTGAAAAACCCCCGAAAAACACCTTCAGGCAGTTGAAAAACAACGTGATGGGTTTTCTTTGAGACAAACAGCAGAGATGGAAAGGAAGAAAAGCCCCAGCTCTGACTGTGAAACTTGGACCCTCAAAGGAGGGCAGTGTGGAGGAGGTGACACTGGGAGCCCCAGAAATTCCAGGGGTGCTGTGTCCCATGCCAGCCTTATGCAGGCAGGAGGTCAGTCCAGCCCCAGGCAACCTCAGTCACCCTAATGCAGCTGAGGAAATTCCCAAGCAGCCACACATCTCTCCACAACCCTCCCACCCCCTCCTGCCGCCCCCAACACCACTGACGTGGGTCCCAGGGAGGGGACGGGTGCCCTCAGCAGGTGCCACATAAACACTGCTTGTGCAGGTGGTTCACATGGGTACAGTGTAGCACCAGTCCCATGGAAGAAGAAAGGCTCAGCATCATAGAACATTTGGATTGGGTTGGGTAGGACTAGTATTTTCTATAAAGCAAAGTTATTTAGCACTTTAAAACATTCATTAGTATGTCACCACTGGCCCATAGGGAATATCAGCCCTGGCAGACAAAGCGCTGTAAATATAAGAATCTATGGATCAGCCCATGCAGACAGCAGCAAGGAGAATTTGCTTTGGATCCCCTTCTTCGTCCCTCAGTCTGTGCTCTCTGGGACTACTTCCATCCTTAGTACGAGCCTCAGAAGACTAAAGACGTGCAATCAGCCCCTAGGACAGCAGTGCTTTGGGGTACCCTCGAAGTACCCCATGCTAGTGGCTCTGGAGGTGACAGTGCAGGAGTAGGAAGTGCCAAAGCAAGGACCATTTGCTTTCTGATCTGCTCATGTCACCAGATCCAGCAGGGTGAGCCAGGGCCACAGGCCAACAGGCTCTCCATCCATAGACAGGAGCACACGACTTTGGAGTTGCTAAGTTCCAGCATGTGCAATAAGGAGCATATCTAGAAACAGGCGTGAACCCATGCACAGTAGCCCATTCCTGTGGAAAACAGCAATTTCCAGTTCCCAAATTACTGGCTTTTGTTGCCTGTGTGTCCTTTGGTTGAGTTTTTCCCACCTCAGGCAGAAACAGCTAGCAAGTCTCAGCAGTAGGACATAGGTAAGGGCATTTGAGATGCAGTTATCATTTGGGAAAAAGTATTGGAAATAATTTCTATATTGCAGCACAGAAAACGCACTTGTAGAGAAGCACGTGCTTGGAACACAGTGTAGATTCATATGGGCACTGCTAGCATTTCTTCCTATCCTCACTACTCACAGAGCCAACACAGGAGCAAATATGGCCAAAACCAAAAACTGCGTGGGGCTGGCTGCAGGCTGGGTGGCTCAGGGAAATCTCCTGACTTAGCTGCAGTAGTGAAACTATTCCACTTTGACCCATTTGCCTCTTTAGAAACATTCTGTGGCACTGGTGTTCTACTCTTAGCCCTTTTATCTGAACACTTCACAGCACTGAGTGTATTTTTCCTCCTGGTGTGCTATATGGAAATGCTAGGATCCACCACACCTTTTAACAAGGCTGCAGGGTTTACTTGGCATGACCCACACTAAGGGACCCAATTTCCTGGAACTGCAGCCTCCCTGTAGCATGCAGGGCTCTTCTGGTGCAGCTGGCTCCAGAAATGGAGTAGCCAAAGGCATTGGTGAGGTGAGAGGTGTTGAGTTCAGGCCTCCCAAGGCACTGGCTAGCAGCACAACCCTTGAAGGATCCATTAGCTCTCTGCATCGCTACACTTCCTCTGAACTCTGCAACCCTGTGTGGCACTTTCTTTCCAGGAAGCACACTGCTGGATTCCCACTCTCCCGAGAAAACCACACTCCTCTGCTGCTGAGCAGGGCTCAGAGACTGTCTGGCTTGTCCTACTCTGCAGGCTGATGGATGGAGGGAGTTCCTTCCTCAGAGAAAAATATCCTTGTTCCATTATTGGACAAATTAGCTGAACTCCTTCCTTTTGAACCTAGCAGGGCCAGTGTCTGGGAGGCAGTTGGGAAGGTGGTGGGGCTGTTGGCAGAAGGTGGTAAGGGAAGCTGAGTGTCCTGGCAGGAGCTGGACAGTCAGTGCAAAACTGTCTGGAATGTGATTATGGCAAAGGCTGTTCTTTGATCCACAGAAGGAAGGCTTTGAGTGCACCTTGGTTTGCCCAGAGCTGGGCTTTTATTAACAGCTGACAAAGATACCTCAGGAGAGAGGAACAGCATGGGAGAGGGTTTGGACACTTGGTCTTTCTGAGCAGGACTAGGAGAGCATCCCTTTTCCTGCCTTGTGCAAACACACTCCTTTCCCTTGTACTGGCCATGACATTAATTAATTCCTGCCACTTATGAACAAATAAGCATCTGTAAGTGAGACAAGTTAATTAATTAATTCCTGCCACTTATGAACAAATAAGCATCTGTAAGTGAGACAAGTGTCTCCTGGTGGGAAGATGGTCAGAGCCTTCACAATGCTTATCTGGGCTGGGATGGACCCATGTTGTCTCCTCATAGGCAGTGAGAGCCCCCTGCCATTTCTCTGGTAAGAGATGTGATTCCCCAACCCAGAACAGGAGAAACCACCAATGTGGCTCCACCAGCACCCGCTCACAGATTTGTGGGAAATGACCTGGGCACCTGCTGCGGGCACAACATGGGCAGCTGATTTCTGTGCAGCCAAAGCAGGGTAAGAAGCAATGGGCTCCAGCTGCCGCAGGAAAGGTGGAGGTCTGATGTTAGAAGCAAGATGAGGTTAGGAAGACCTTGGGATGGGCAATTCAGGAAAGTTATTCAAGCTCCTTTATACGAAGTGGCTGAGAAGAAACCTCTCTCAAAAGAAGTCTAGATTGAATCCTGCCTCTGTGGGATAGATTACGTTATGAGTTATGTTCCCAGGGTTTAAATAAGGAAAAAAATAAAAAAGGGAGAAAAAAACCACTACTAGGATGGGTTCCTCAGAACCAAGAGAACACATGAGAGACCATATTTTTCAGCCAGGATTTTGCTTCAAAGCCTCTTTCCCTATGTCCCACCTGTGCAACCAGCTCCCTCAGCACAGATAGGTGCTGGAGTTTCTTTGTATACCTGCTTCTCCAGAGATCTTGCCTGCAGCAGGCTTATGACAGCAACATTCAAAACAGCATCTCAGCCCATCCACCTCACTCATCTCATTTGCACAGCCATTCAGTGCATAGTGCTATTTAAAAATCCAGCCTAGAGCAGTTACCAACTTCAGCCTCCTGTAAACCACCGAGGTTGTTTCTGCTTCACATGTAGCATTTTATGCAAATAATTTCTTACAATATTTGGACAATTGCAACAACTTGTTTATAATTTCTCACATGAGTTTAAAGACTTTTGCATAGAAATCAGTGCTGAGATGTTAGGTGAATGGCTGTGTTGAACAAAGTCCCTGCTCTCTACCAGATGCTTCTGCCATGTCCCGCTCTGCCAGCACATGTTGTCCTGTCTACAATGTGTGCAGCTTCCCCCAGTCTCTAATAGCCCCAGGGCTATTTCATCTTGACTGAGCTGAGTGTGAGAGTGAGGTTGTGCCAGGAATCACAGTCCCACCGAATTCATCCCACTTGACACAGAGCAAACACCAGCACTTCCAGTCCTTACTGAGTGCAACCAGCCAATACACAGGAAACAGATCCTTTACACCCAGAAAGTCTGAAAAATGACAAGGGCTGTAAGTCAAGCACTCAAAATTGTGGAAATCCCATCCTTAAATCCCTAAAGCACACAGCATTTATGCCCTCATGCTGTGTAACATGCTGTGCTCTGTAGCTGCATGATCCACTAGGGTTTATTCCCTGGGATGGCCATGTTACCTTCATCTTGTCCTGCAGTCAGCATGTTCCAACATCCTGCTTTTCCATTTCTTCACGGACTCTTTCTAATGCTCATCACTTCAGCACTGAGTGCTTCAGGATAATAAATGAAGATGTTTTCTAAGCCACCTTTCAGGTCTGGAGCTGGGGATGAGGGAATGGAGTTATACCTATCTAACAGGTACAAAATAAGAGACAAAAGAGATTTAGGTCATAAGTACTCATTCATTTTGGATACGCATTTTGAACCAACTAGGATCTAAATTTTTTTATGGTTTTAGCACTATATAGCACTTAGTTTAGTCAAACCCCAGATCCTGATGTCTGTGACTGCATCTGCAAATCTTTAACACTTCTCTAAAGCAGCTTGGGAAATGAGGAAGACACAGCTGCTCCTGTGAAAGCTCTTGCTTATGTGGCTCACCAACTCACAGAGTAACTTTAAGGCAGGGGTAGACACAGATCCAGCTCTCCAGGGAGGCATCAGCTGTCTGCTCAGGAGAATCACCTTTCTTTCTACAGTCTCTTGCTTCACCAACTTGATAGGAGTTTCCCAGCCCTGCTAAGAAAGGAGGCAGCCAAGCTGTTGAGCTTATTCCTCCCTCCAGCCAAGGTCCAGCCCGGGTGCTGAAGAGGTGGCAATCCAGGGTAAAATGCATGAAGCGGCCATATGCACAAGGCATCTGAAGCTAGACTGCCCAGGAAAGCCCATTTCCAGCAATTTCTAGGTCTTCAGTACTTGGCTTTGTCAAATTTATATGGGTTTTTTTTTTAATGTAATGCTTTTTTTGTTTGTTTGTTTATTTTTTTTTTTGTCCATATATGCTAGCTTTCCAGATAAGGACACCCAGCTCCAGGTAGATGGGGTCTATCTGACCCCACTGGAGAGGAAGAGCAAGCCTGGCTAGAGCTGAAGGGTTGACAGGAGGTTGGCAGGGTCAGACCTCCTGCACATACTGGAGTTTCAGTCTGAAGACACCAATTATAGAGTTCACCCCAGGCTATTTTGAAGGAATGAACCACATTCT